TTCAGGTGCTGCCGGAGCCGGCAGATCTGGGGCAGCCTGTTTAAAATAACACATTGGCACAGAAAAAAGGGGGGGAGCAGAGGAAACGAGGTCTCCTGGCAGCCCGCACAGGGAATGGCGCCGAACCCCGACCCACGCCTCGCCCCGATGCAGAGTCCCCTTGGCCTGGGGGAGCCCTCACAGCCCTTCCAGGGACTCACCGGTCCCCAGGGCTCCCGGGGGTCTGGTGCCCGTGGTGTGGGGAGCCATGGGCGTCAGGCAGGGCAGGGTGGGCGGGCTGCCAGGGGAGCGGGGCACTGCGAGGGTGTCTCCAAGGGGAGGCCGGTCGGGTCTTGCATCAGGCAGGCTGGGAGCCATCCGAGCCATCCGCGCTATAAATACACTGGGCGGGTAAACACTTGGGAGGAGGAAAAAACCCAGCTATTTCAGCTAATGGGCACGGCTGCCACAAGGTATAAATCGGTCAGGAGTAAAATTAGGCTGGAGACGAGGAGGCAGATTGGTACTGCTGCCCACGAGGCCCTGGCTGCCAGTGCTGTCCTGTCACCTGGGGCTTGGTGCAAATGGGGCCAGACTCACAGCACAGACCTCGTGGATCAGTCTGGCTGGGGCAGGGATGTGTCCCTGCAGGGGTACACTGCAGGACACCCCTCTGGAGGGACCCCTGGGCTCGAGGGCTCCTTGTTTTACCAGGTCCTTTGAGTCCTGCCTTTTAGGCCAGTCCCAACACCATCAATGATACTCATCCTTTCTGCGCCCTCCTGAGAAATAACTGCCCTCTGGAGGGGCAGGATTGGCATCCCTAGGCTTTCATTTGAGGAGCTGGGAAGTCATCTGTATTTATCACCACTGCTAATGAGCAGGCACTCAGCTGTTGGGCAGTTACCCTGGCTGGTTGCACTGCAGAGGTCTGAGCTGCCTCCTGTTAAAGCCAGTCTACTTTCTCCCTTCTAAGAACCAAAAAAAAAAAAAATGTCCTGGCCACATCCACGTGGTGGCAAAAAAGAACCTGATTCATCCTTAGATAATTTGTGTACATTGCTTTTTCTTCTTTCCTGAGCAGCCTTTGCATATATATGAAGAAAGCTCTTAGGCGGCACTGCAGTCAAACCTGATCTGCTTTTAGAAGGCAGATCCTTAAATTACCCTCTCCCTCTCTGCAGGCAGGGAATTGCTGGATGTTCTGGTGCAAACCCGTGGTGGTGGCACACTCAACTTGAGCCCTACTGCTCTGCTGGGCAGGGATGCACTGCATGGCCTCGAGCTGGCTGCAGTGGGAGGACAGGGAGTCCTGAGAGGGTGACCTGTAGGACTGGTTGGTGTTCTGTTCCTTAGGAGTGTGCAGCTCAGACACCTGGGTTTGGGGCAGCCTCGGTGGGCGGGGCTGGGGGTGATGCCGTGGTGATCTGCATGGCTCGAGCAGGTGGTGACACTGGTGTGACACCCTGGCACCAGCCAAGCCCCTTCATGCCCAAGCAGGGTTGCCATGCAGAAGGTTGAAGCTTGAAGCATCCCAGCCAGCTTCATCCAAGAGCCTGAATCACCAGACAGAGCCAAGGTCAAGCTGGGGCATCAGCCTGCAGGGTCCCCCTGTTCGAGGGCTGCTGCCTGGCGCTGGAGGGGTGAGCACCCACCTCACTCCTGAAAAAAGCTGGAGAGAGCAGCAATTTGGGTTTGAGGCTCCCACCTGCCAGTCCTTTGCTGCAGCCCTACAAAAAAAACCTCCTTCCCTGCAGCTTTTCTGGCTCAGCCACATGGTGCTGAGCTCTGGCAGCAGGGACAGCACCATCCAGGCAGGGGGACGTGCCCCTGCGCTTGCCAGTGGCAGGGTGCTGCATGCCCCAGGCTGCTGCTTGCCCTTTAAGGCCTGGCAGCAGCTGATGGCCACGTGTGCGCTGCCTTGGCACCCTCTCTGTGCCCTCTGCGCGCTCGGGGACGACCAGCGCGCCGGCTGGGGAGGCTGTGCCCTGTCCGGTGGCTGTGCCCGCACCAGCACAGGATGAGCAGGTGCCCAGCGGGCGCTGCGTGGGGTGAGGGTCACCATGCAGGCGGCAGGTGAGGGGCTGCCCTGCCCCACCACGGCCTCGGGGATTCCCTGGGATGCAGGGTGGACGACTCGACTCCCGCTGCCCTTGCTAAGGGCTCGTCTCTGCTCTCCCTCCAGGTTTCAAGTGCCCCATTTGCTCCAAATCTGTGGCTTCTGACGAGATGGAAATGCACTTTATCATGTGTCTGAGCAAACCTCGCCTCTCCTACAACGGTAAGGACCGAGCTCTGCGGGGACACGGCATCCTGCCGCCTTGGGATGACTCCGGGCAGGCTGGAGCATGCAGCTCAGCTGAGCTTGGCAGGAGGGCTCTTCTCCAGCAGGGTGGTGCTGCTCCCAGTCCCTGCTCCACTCTGCTCCCCCAGCATGGCTCAACTCTGCTGCTCTTGCTTTTTGGCTCCTTTGTAACACAGCCCCCTGCCCAGGCTGCTCTGTGCCAGAGGGAGCCCTCCTGGCTGGGTGTCCTGCCTGGCGAGGACAGGGGACACGTGTCCCCTTGGGCTGCCCCTCTGAGGGCTCATTGCCTTCCTCCCCTCCTCACTGGCTGGGACAATTACGGTGCTGAGCTCTGGGCTGAGCGCTGGGCTGCATCTCCCACCTCCCTCCTGACCACTGGTGTGGGAGGGATGCTCGCCTCCTAGTCGGTGGTGATTTTTTAGAAGCCAGGGGTAGGGGCTGTGTTTGCTCCAGCTGCCCCAGCCCCTGTGCCTCCACCTGAGCCTCCTGCTAGTGTTTTACAGTGCTGCTGCCGTTCTGCCCCAAGGCAGCTGCACCCACAGCAGGGCCGTGGGTTCCCCTTCATCCCAGGGAGGGCAACACCGTGAGGGTCCCCATCTCACCGCTGCCCTCTCCTCCCCTCCCAGACGACGTGCTGACCAAGGATGCTGGCGAGTGCGTGATCTGCCTGGAGGAGCTGCTGCAGGGGGACACGATAGCCAGGCTGCCCTGCCTCTGCATTTATCACAAAAGGTACTGTGAGGGCAGGGCCAGGCAGGTGGCAGGGGACAGGAGGGGACACCCGAGGTTCAGCAGCACGGGGGTGACACACTCTGCTCTCCTCTGGCAGCTGTATAGACTCATGGTTTGAAGTGAACAGATCTTGCCCGGAGCATCCTTCTGATTGACCTGCCGGGTGTGCTTGCTGACTTCTCTTTAAGGTGAGCCTGGGGCGGGCTGCTCAAACGGGACATTCCCATGCTGGGTTTAAATCCTGGGCCGGGAGGGGAGGATGGGGTGGGATGAGGTGGGGTGGGACAGCCAGGGCTCGGGCTCCTCACCCGGGATGGTCTCTCTCTGCCGTTGCAGGGCACCTTGCTATACCTGCTGTACCTCCTCTCCCTGTCCCCCCGCCCCGCCTGGAGTTTTGGGCTGACTTTAAATTCCTCAAGAAGACAAAAATAAAACCCAGAAACTTGAATCCACTTGGGACAACGGCGCATTTTTTATTTTATTTTATTTTATTATTTTTATTTGTTTTGTTGTTGTTTTGGTTTTTTTTTTTTGCTCGTTTTGTTTTTGTTGTTTTTTTTTTTTAATTTAAAAGATTTGAAACAAAAAGAAACATCCAGGAGAAGACAGTGTGAGAAAAGCGGAGCGACCTGCTCTCCCTTCCACAGCCGCTGGTCACCAGGAGAGCTCTGCCTGCCCAGAGGCCCCAGGGACGCCCTCGGCCGAAACCCTGCCATGATGTTTGGCTTTTTCCCCGAAGCGAAAGGGGAAAGCTGCCGGGGGACAGCCGGCCAAACGGAGCACGCGGCATTTCTCACCGGCAACCCCCCACCTCCCACCCGGACTCGCCCGGGGGCTCTGCTCGGTTTTTTTGCACTGACTAAACGGGAAATTTCTCCTCTCTCCCGTCTCCCTTTTGGAGATCTCCACCCTGGCCCCGGCAGCGTTGAGATGGGGACTCTGCCCCACGCCGGGAGCGGGGCCACTGCTCCCCCCTGCTGAGTCGCAGGGGTCCGTCTTTCAAGTGTTTACAACGAGGAAAAAAAAAAAAAAAGGAAAAAAAAAAGAAAAAAAAAGAAGAAAAAAAAAGAGAAAATGGACAGGAAAAAAAAACAAACAAAAAAACAACAAACCACAACTGAAGCTTCGTGTTGACTGGCGTGTTCTTCGATTTGAGCTTCCCTGCCCCGGTGATGTTTACAGACTGGTCACTCTTTAACTCAGCTATAACCACTCAGAGACTGGAGAGCCGCAGCATCCCCGCCGCCCCTCCCGCGCCCCCTCGCCGGGCTCCTCTTGCCAAAACCGCCCCCCCTCTTTCTTTTCCATCGGCTTTGAGTTGGACCCTTTGGAGGAGGGTATGGGGAAGGCCCCGATGGCCCCCCGGATGCCCTTGGCCCCCCCTGGTCGCGGGAGTGGCTTTGCTGGAGGTGCCAAGATGGAGTCATTTCATGGCAGTGCCCCCTCCCCTGCCCATCCCGTCCCCTCCTGGCGCGGCGGGCGCGTTTTCGTTGGTGAGACCTCCCCTGCCGGTGGCCGTGCCCCTGCGGGAAACCTTTCTGTATTTATATATTAAAAAAAACGGGGGAAAAAAAAGAGTTCAGAGCTTGGGGGGAGCTTCCTTCATTAGTCAAGGTGTTTTGATATGGTATTAAAACAATGTTCAATAAAATATTCACTGTTATTTTATTTCACTGGCTTTCTTGGTGAAGCAGATGATGCCGACGGGGTGCCGGAGACTCCCACCTGTGCCAACGCCCCTTCCCCATATCTGCCACGTGGGGATGGCCCCAGTGGTGCTCAGCAGATCCCAGAGATGGGAGTGTCATGGGGGCCATGATGGACATTCCCACCCAGCACCACCAGCACCGTGACTCAGGGGAAGAGACTAAAGTGGGACCACCATGGTGCCCTGTGGGTGTCTGTGTGTGCTGGCTGGGACAGGGACTCTCTGGGGAGGGGCTGGGGGTCCTGTCCCCCAAAAGACATCAGAGCACATGGAGGCTATGGGGTGCAAAGGGGTTTATTTGGGGTTTGAGGATCCCTGACCCCCTGAGGTGGGGATGGAGGGATTTGTGGGGACACAAAGTGGCAGTGCAGGGCAGTGTGGCCACCCCAGCCTTGACTCCCAGCTCCCCTCTGCCGGTTCAGTGCCAGTGCTCCCCCTCAGAGCACCTTGCCGGGGTTCATGAGGTTGTAGGGGTCCAGAGCAGCCTTGATGGAGCGCAGGGTGTCCAGCCCCTCCTGGCCCAGCTCCTCCAGCAGCAGCGCCCGCTTGCCCAGCCCCACGCCGTGCTCCCCGGTGCAGGTGCCCCCTGCCGCCAGTGCCCGCCTGCAGGACAGGGAGGGTCAGGGCATGGGGACATCTGTCTGTCCAGCTGTCCCCCCAGAGTGCCCCCATCCCCACCTGCCCAGGCGCTGGGTGAAGGCGTGGATGCGCTGGGCCTCCTCCGGGTCCTGGGTGTTGAAGATGAGGATGCAGTGGAAGTTGCCATCTCCTACGTGTCCCACCATGGGTCCTGCAGGGCCAGGGGTCAGTGAGGTGCACGGGGAGGATGGTGACCCCCCCAGCCCACCCCTCTGTCCCAGGAGGCTGTGGCCCCACTGACCGGTGAGGCCGGAGTCCTGCAGGTCCTGCTTGGTCTCCACTACCACGTCGGGCAGGCGGGAGATGGGCACACAGACATCCGTGGAGTAGCCCTGGGGCGGGCAGGGCAGAGCTGTGGCACCTGCAGCTCCGTGGGCGCTGCGCCCTCGTCCCTGTCCTCGTGCCTGTCCCTCACCTGGCAGCCGGGCCGCAGGGCCAGGGCCGCGTACCAGGCGTTGTGGCGCATGGCCCAGAGCCGCCCGCGCTCCTCCAGCCCCTCCGCCCACGCCAGGCCGGAGCCGCCGTTCAGCCGCACGATCTCCTCTGACGGTGACCGGGAGCCCTGGCATGGGACCCACGGCACCCCCATAACCTGGCCCTCACCCCAGGACCTCCAGTGCCCATCCTGGGCATCCATCCCATATCTCAGGATACCCCTGGTCCTCCCATCCCTTGTCCCTGAGCACCCATCCATCACCCTGTGACCAGTCTGGTCATCCCTGTCCCATGTCCCTGAGCCCCTCAGCAGACCCCCAGCCCACACGCCCATCCCTCACCCTGATGTCTTCCCAGTCCCCATCCCAAGCATCCATCCCTGGTCCCTCTGTTCCTCGTCCAGGGCACCTATCGCTCACCCCAGGACCACCCTGTCCCCCGTCCCCTGCCCCTGGACACCCATCCCTCGTCCCTGGGTGTCCACCATGGCCCCCAGCCCCAGGCACCCTATTCCTCATGCCTATTCCCATCCGTACCCGTCTGTCGCTGCTGCTCAGCCAGGCTGTTCCGGGAGCCATGGAGCTCCAGGAGCAGCGTGGCTGCCACGGGCAGCCCCATCCCGCTGTAGCGGCCACAGGCGTCTGCCATCACCTCATCCAGGAACTCTGGTGAGAGGAGGCGGCGCTCAGTGCCACCACCAGCCCCTGGCCCCGCAGCCTCACCTCTCACCCTGGGCACCCACCGATGCGGGCCACGGGCACGGCAGCCTGCAGCACCTGGACGGTGCACGCCACAGCTGCCCCCACGCCGGGGAAGGAGGCGATGGTGGCGGCGGTGGCCTCGGGCAGCGGGTGCAGGCGCAGCGTGGCCTGCGTCAGGAAGCCCAGGGTGCCTTCGGAGCCCACGAAGAGCGAGGTCAGGTCGTAGCCGGCCGCCCGCTTCCTGCGTGGAGCTGGTGAGCAGGGACACCCCCAGCACTACCCTGCCCAGCACGGCCCCAGCCCCAGTACCCACCTGGCCTGGCGCCCGGGGCCGGCGGTGTGGAGCAGGCGCCCGTCCGGCAGCACCACGCGCAGGTTGAGCACGTTGGGCCGCATGGTGCCGTAGCGCACCGCGTTGGTGCCCGAGGCGCCCGTGGCCGCCATGCCACACAGAGAGGCGTCTGCCCCGGGGTCTGCGAGCGGGGGATAGGCAGGGGATGGGAGTGGGGATGGTGAGGACACCTCGAGGACCCCAAACACAGCAAAACTACGGGCATGTCCAGCAGCACTTGGGGCCATGGCACCTCTAGTCCCACAGGCACCACTGGGACCATGGCACACCCCTGGACACGCCAGCATTCCCAACATCCCCAGCCCAAAGGCATCCCCAGCACTCTCAGTGCTGTGACCCCCGGCCCCGAGGCCCCCCCATGCCCACAGTACCGACAGGGAACCAGAGCCCGGTGCCACGCAGGTGGTTGTTGAGGGCCTTGCGGGTGACACCGGGCTCCACTGTCACCGAGAAGTCCTCGAGGCTCAGCTCCGCGATGGTGTCCATGCGGCTCAGGTCGAAGCAGACGCCGCCCTGGCACAGGGGCACCGGTGGGTGCGGGCACAGCCGGGCACCGAGAGCCCCTGGGGGGCCAGGGGGTGCCGGGGAGCCGATACCTGCACGGCATTGACACCGCCCTCGAGGCCGGTGCCGGTGCCAAAGGGCACCATGGGCACTCGGTGGCCGTAGCAGAGCGCAGCCAACTCCTGCACCTGCCCCACCGACCGGGGCCACACCACGGCGTCCGGGGGGGCACAGCTGGGGGACAGGCGGCACCGCTGCTAAAACTGACTTGCCCGCCTTGGGGCCCTTCCCCTCCCCAGGTGTTTCCCCTCCCTGGGATCCTTCCCCAGGGCTGCAGCCCCAGAGGGCACTCACGGGTGCATGGACTCATCGTGGCCGTGCTGCTCCCGCACCGCCGAGGCCGTGGAGACGTTGGGGGCCCCGACCACGGCGCTCAGGGCCTCCACAAAGTCGGGGGGCAGCGAGGGCTGCGGGGGGAACGACGAGGGCTCCGTCAGGGAGGGGCTGGGGCTGCTCTGACTGCGGCCGTGGGCCCGGCACACCCAGCAGCCAAGGGCAGGGGGCCCAGCGGCCACGGCAGGACGGGAATGCCCTCGGGACCCCCGGCCCCACCTTGGAGCAGCAGCTGCGGCGCCCCAGGGCTGCCCCCAGCGCCAGCAGCCGCAGCAGGGCCATGGCAGGACCGACCAACAACAGGAACGAGGGAACTGAACCACCAGGACCCTGCCCTGCCCTCCCCTGGCCGTCGGTCCCTCCCCCACAGGGACACCTTAAGGTGGCTCCAGCCATGGGGACGGACACGTGAGTGTGTTCCTGCCGGGGCACCGATCCCACCAGTGCCCGTGGTCACATCGCCGTGCAGGGCAGGGTCCCCTGCCTGAGCCGTGTCACTGCCCCCAAAACGGCCCTTGCCCTCCCTGCTGTCCCACAGCCCGGTGCTCCCGTACCTGCTCGGGTGTCCCCGCAGCTGGCCAGGGGTCCCTCACCCTATGGGAGGCCACATGTGCTGGGCCTGGGCACTCCCAGCCAGGTGTCCCCGTGCTCAACCGTGTGACGGCGAGCAGGCCTGTCCCTCTGTCTCCACTCCCAGCCAGGTGTCCCCATTCAGCACCAGGTGTTCCCAAGCCCCACTGTCCATCTGCCCCCTTTCCCAGCCAGCTGTCCCTATGCCCCTGCGTCCACCTGTCCCCATTCTCACCCAGGTGTCCCCATGACCCCCAGCCCTCCTGACCGGGTGTCCCCATGTCCCCCCACACACCGCGTGCCCACATCCCCAGCCACGAACTCCCAGCCACCCGTCTGTCCCCTGCCTGCTCCCACCCCTCCCACAGTGGGGACAAGGACACGGCGCTCAGGGTGGCAGCGTTTATTGGTGTTCACTGGCGGGCTCAGTTGGCCTCCAGGATGGAGTTGATCCAGTCGCGGAGCATGGTGACACGGGCGTAGACGCCGGGCGTCTGCGGGTCGCAGGTGCTGCTGCCCCAGGACACGATGCCCACCAGGGTCCAGGCGCCGTCCTTCTGGCACACCAGCGGGCCCCCGGAGTCGCCCTGCACGGGGCACGGGGTGAGCACCAGGGAGGGGGCCGGGGGGCAGGGGCAGAGGGGAGGCCGCGGGCACCTACCATGCAGGAGGAGGCTCCGTCGGCGCCCGCACAGACCATCACGTCGCGGATGCGGAAGCCCCAGAACTCCTTGCACTGGGCGTTGGTGAGCAGGGGCAGAGCCACCTGCTGCAGCACGGACGGCGTCTGCGAGTCTGCGGGAACGGGGGCGTCAGCACCGCCACCGGAGCGCCAGTGGGGACAAGGACGGGCATGGTGATGGGGGCGGAGGTGCTGACAGGATCGGTCAGGGTTGGGAATTGGTAACGGGCATGAGGAAGGGGCCAGGGCTGAGGATGGGCATAGGGATGGGGAGGAAGGCAGCGAGCGGGACGAGAAGGTGCCGTACCACTGGAGTCAGTGAGCCCCCAGCCGGTGGTGACGCAGGTCGTGCCCCCTGGGAAGTCGTCGGTGGCCTTGGGCAGGCAGACGGGGGACACGCGGTCCGAGAACTGCGCTGGGGTGGCCAGTTTGATCAGGGTGATGTCGTCGCGGATGGTCAGCAAGTTGAACTTGGGGTTCTTGAAGACCTGCAGCAACCAGCACCGCTCCCAGCGCCCGCACCGCCCACCAGGCTGCCAGGCACTGGGCACTCCTCGGGGACCCATGGGCACACCGGGGAATGGTGCTGTGGCTCCCGTGCTGGCAGGGTGCCTGAGCTGCAGAGCCCAGCCCCTGGGACACAGGGGAGCAGGGACACCCCGTGCCACATCACCTGCAGGGATGAAGGGGACCCTGGGGGCCTCACTCCCATCCCTTGGGGCTCCTGGGGCACCCTGGCAACCTGGCCCGAAGGATGAGGGGAACAGGGACACCCCAGGGGATCGCAGCCCAGGCATGTGGGGCACCACGGACATCCCAGGGAAGCCTGACCCTCAGGAAAAGGGCAACCAGGCACTCCTTGGGGATCCAACCCCCAGGACTAGGGGGACCCGGACACACCGCCTCCCTGACTCCCTGTGGTGTCCCAGCAGGCACACAGTGCCCACCCTGGCGGTACCTTCTCGATGGTCAGCTTCTGCTGAGCAGGGCTGGGGTCCTTCTGGTCATAGGCACCCACCACCACGGTGTCGGTTTTCCTGGGCATGGGCAGGCCCTGAGCACAGGCCACCGGCACGGGGAGGGGGCAGCTCTCGCAGCCCCCGTGTCTGTGCCCAGCCCTGCGTGCCGGCAGCAGGGCCGGTGCCTACCTGACGCCGCAGTGGGCAGCGGTGACCACCCAGTTCTCGCTGATCAGGGACCCGCCGCAGAAGTGGAAGTTACCGTAGCGCTGCCGGGGAGAGCTCCGTCAGCACCCGGCACCGCCGGCACCGCCACCGGGGCTCTGTGCCCGACCCCACACAGCACCCACCCTGGCCCTGGCCCGACCCGGCTCTCACCTGCAGGGACACCTGCCACGGCCAGGACCCCGGCACTGCCGGCTCCCCGTTGACGATGCGGTTGTAGCCACGGATGACGGGGGCGATGGCGGGCACGCCGCAGTCTGCGGGGCACAGGCGGCCGTGGGACGGCGGCTCCAGCTGCTCTGGCCCCGTGTCCCTCCCCACCGCTGCCACCCCACCGAGCCCCGAGCCCGCCCCAACAACCCCCACGGCCCCACGCACCCTCAGGGAGGGCGGCACGGGCAAAGCCCGCCAGCGCCAGGCAGCTCAGCAGCCACAGCAGAGCCATTGTCACTCGTGAGGGTGGACCCTGCCTGGCACCTGGCGCCTCTTATACCCACCCTGGGCACGTCCCCGCGCTGCTGGCCTTGCACCACAGCCTTGGGAGATAGGGCTGCACCTGGTACGGTGCCAGGACATGGCCTGGGAGCGCAGCACCTGGAGCCAGAGTCCTTGGCTGTGGCTGTTGGACAGCACATGGTCCAACTTCTGCCTTAAAAATGTGCTTGCTCTGGTTCATGGGGTGAGTTCTCTCTTGGTCACAGAATCATAGCAAAGTGGGTATGGTTGGAAGGGTTCTCCCAGGCCAACTTGTCTGTAAAGGCTCTGCTGCCTTTTTTTTTTTTTTTTAAACTAGTGTGAAAGAGGGAGCTGGAAGAAGAAGGATTCCTGTTGAGAGGAATGACAAAACTCAGCCCAGACATCCACTATAATAGGAACAAATGGGAATTGTGGCCCCACAGGAATATCAGAGCAGTGAAACAAGTGTTGGTAGAAATAGGCTATGAAAGACCATGTGAGAATTGCAGCTCTGGGGCCAAAATGAGTCCATGCCAGCCTGGGCCCTTATCACGAAATCACAGAATGGTTTGGGTGGAACGGGATCTTAAAGTTCATCTTGTTCCAGTCCCCCTGTCATGGGCAGAGATACCTTCCACTAGACCAGATTGCTCAAAGCTCCAACCTGGCCTTGAACACTTCCAGGGATGGGACAGCCACAGCTTCCCTGGGCAACCTGTGCCAGGGCCTCCCCACCCTCACGGGGAAGGATTTCTTCCTAATCTCTATTCCAACCCTGCCCTTTGTCAGTTTGAAGCCATTTCCTGCTTTTGTTAGTCCATGCCCTCATCCCAAGTCCCTCTCCAGCTCTCCTGGAGTCCCTTTAGGCACTGGAAATGCTCTAATGCCTCCCTGGAACCTTCTCTTCTCCAGGCTAAAGAACCCCAACTCTTCCAGTCTACCTCTATAGCCAAAGTGCTCTGTTCCTCAGCAGACCTCTGTGACCTTCTCTGGACTCACTCCACATGTCCACGTTGTTCTTGTGTTGGAGTCCCAGAGCTTGACCCAGTGCTCCTGGTGGGGTCTCAACATAGTGGAGCAGAGGGGCAGAATCCCTGCCCTTGACCTGCTGCTCACACTGCTGGTGATGCAGCCCAGGATACACTTGGCTTTCTGGGCTGCCAGGACAGGCTGTCATGGAATGGTGGAGTTCGGAAGGACCATGGAGTTCACCTGGGGTCAGGTCTGCAGAGCTCTTCCCAGCTGCCAATCAGGCAGGGTCACAGAGTCCGTGCTCATTCACAGGGCCAGGTCCCCAGGACATCAAAGAGTCGGGTGGCGAGATGGTTCCAGGGCTGGCAATCTGCTGGGGCACCGTGCCAGGTGCAGCCCTATCTCCCAAGGCTGTGGTGCAAGGCCACAGCGCAGGGACGTGCCCAGGGTGGGTATAAGAGGCGCCGGGTGCCAGGCAGGGTCCACCCTCACGAGTGACAATGGCTCTGCTGTGGCTGCTGAGCTGCCTGGCGCTGGCGGGCTTTGCCCGTGCTGCCCTCCCTGAGGGTGCGTGGGGCCGTGGGGGTTGTTGGGGCGGGCTCGGGGCTCGGTGGGGTGGCAGCGGTGGGGAGGGACACGGGGCCAGAGCAGCTGGAGCCGCCGTCCCACGGCCGCCTGTGCCCCGCAGACTGCGGCGTGCCCGCCATCGCCCCCGTCATCCGTGGCTACAACCGCATCGTCAACGGGGAGCCGGCAGTGCCGGGGTCCTGGCCGTGGCAGGTGTCCCTGCAGGTGAGAGCCGGGCCGGGCCAGGGCCAGGGTGGGTGCTGTGTGGGGTCGGGCACAGAGCCCCGGTGGCGGTGCCGGCGGTGCCGGGTGCTGACGGAGCTCTCCCCGGCAGCGCTACGGTAACTTCCACTTCTGCGGCGGGTCCCTGATCAGCGAGAACTGGGTGGTCACCGCTGCCCACTGCGGCGTCAGGTAGGCACCGGCCCTGCTGCCGGCACACGGGGCTGAGCACAGACACGGGGGCTGCGAGAGCTGCCCCCTCCCCGTGCCGGTGGTCTGTGCTCAGGGCCTGCCCATGCCCAGGAAAACCGACACCGTGGTGGTGGGTGCCTATGACCAGAAGGACCCCAGCCCTGCTCAGCAGAAGCTGACCATCGAGAAGGTACCGCCAGGGTGGGCACTGTGTGCCTGCTGGGACACCACAGGGAGCCGGGGAGAGAGTGTGTCCGGGTCCCCCTAGTCCTGGGGGTTGGGTCCCCAAGGAGTGCCTGGTTGCCCTTTTCCCGAGGGTCAGGTTTCCCTGGGATGTCCGTGGTGCCCCACATGCCTGGGCTGCGATCCCCTGGGGTGTCCCTGTTCCCCTCATCCTTCGGGCCAGGTTGCCAGGGTGCCCCAGGAGCCCCAAGGGATGGGGGTGAGGCCCCCAGGGTCCCCTTCATCCCTGCAGGTGATGTGGCAC